CCGGTGCTCCGGTTTCCTCCCACCTCCAAAGACATGCTGGTAGGTTCATTGGCTGCTGTCTAAATTGGCCCTAGTATGTGTATGTATGTGAGTTAGGGACCTTAGATTGTAAGCTCTTGATAGCAGGGACTGATGTGAATGTACAATATACACTGCTCAAAAAAATAAGAATCACTTTTTAATTCGAGTATAGCATCAAGTCATTTAAGCTCCTGGGATATTGATCTGGTCAGTTAAGTAGCAGAGGGGGTTGTTAATCAGTTTCAGCTGCTTTGGTGTTAATGAAATTAACAATAGGTGCACTAGATGGGCAATAATGAGACTACCCCAAAAAACAGGAATGATTTTACAGGTGGAGGCCACTGACATTTTTTTTCCCCTACCAGGGGTGGACTGACCATTCGAGCACTCGGGCACTGCCTGAGGGCCTGGGATCAGTAGGGGGCCCCATGAAATGCCCCTGGTACCTTTTTTATAGGCTTTTTTGAGTGTGGGCAAGGACACAGGGGCCCCATGATCCCCTTTGCCCGGGGACCCCATGAGTTGTCAGTCTGTCCCTGTTCCCTACTCATCTTTCTGACTGACTGTTTTTCACTAGTTTTGCATTTGGCTAGGGTCAGTGTCACTACTGGTAGCATAAGGCGATATCTGGACCCTACAGAGGTTGCACAGGCAGTCCAACTTCTTCGGGATGGCACATCAATACGTGTTATTGTCAGAAGGTTTGCTGTGTCTCCCAGCACAGTCTCAAGAGCATAGAGTGGATTCCAGGAGACAGTTAGTTACTCTAGGAGAGCTGGATAGGGCTGTAGAGAAAGTCCTTAGCCTATCAGTAGGACCGGTATCTGCTCCTTTGTGCAAGGAAGAACGGGATGAACACTGCCATAACCCTACAAAATGACCTCCAGCAGGCCACTGGTGTGAATGTCTCCGACCAAACAATCAGAAACAGACTTCATGAGGGTGGCCTGAGGGCCTGACATCCTCTAGTGGGCCCTGTGCTCACTGCCCAGCACCATAGAGCTCGATTGGCATTTACCTTTGAACACCAGAATGGGCAGGTCCGCCACTGGTGCCCTGTGATTTTCACAGATGAGAGCAGGTTCACCCTGAGCGCATGTGACAGATGTGAAAGGGTCTGGAGAAGCCATGGAGAATGTTATGCTGCTTGTAATATTGTTCAGCATGACTGTTTTGGTGGTGGGTCAGTGATGATCTGTGGAGGCATATCCATGGAAGAGACGCACAAACCTCTACAGGCTAGACAATGGCACCCTTACTGCCATTAGGTATCGGGATGCAATCCTTGGATCCATTGTTAGACCCTACACTTGTGCAGTTGGTCCTGGGTTCCTCTTGGTGCACAACAATGCCTGGGCTCATGTGGCGAGAGTATGCAGGCAGTTCCTGGAGGATGAAGGAATTGATACCATTGAATGGTCCCCACGCTCGCCTGACCTAAATCCAATAGAACACCTCTGTGATATCATGTTTTGGTCCATCCGATGCCGCAAGGTTGCACCTCAGACTGCCCAGGAGCTCAGTGATGCCCTGGTCCAGATCTGGGAGGAAATACCCCAGAACATCATCCTTCGTCTCAGTAGGAACATGCCCCGATGTTGTCAGGCATGTGTACAAGCAGATGGGGGCCATACAAACTACTGAGGACCATTTTGAGTTGCTGCAATGAAATTTCAGCAAAATGGACTAGTCTGCTGCATCATTTTTTCACTTTGATTTTCGGGCTGTCAAAGGACACTGGACAACTCTGAATGTTTGATAAGTTCAACAGCTGTTTTTTTTTTTTTGCATTTATAGAACAAATATAACAAATGCTTCTTATATTTAACAGACCAAAATGAAGCAAATAGAGGAAGTTCATTTTTCAGGTTTACATACTCTTTACCCAGTTGTCTACAGCAGAAGTCCCCAAACTCCCTGGCACCAGCCAATGGCCTTGCGAAAGATAACCCCTCCATAGATGCGGGGGGTGCAACTCAATAGGAGTTTCCCCAGCCAAACCTCTCCTTACCAATGATCTGGGGGTTGGAGACCTCTGGCCTGGACAGTGCTATAGCAAGCTATAAGTCATCTAGTTAGTGTTTAAGTCTGGTATAAGCCCAGGTGAGGCTTACTTTAACATCAAATTGATGCACTCACAGGCAAACTATTGCTAGTCACTGTGCTCTTATACATGGCCCACCTTGTCTTTTGCATCCTACTTATACTGCTGGCGAGCACTGCAGTTCATCTACTAATGGTTGAGACTAGACTCTCCAGTATGCATCAAAGACATTATCAGCTTGTACTGAAAGATAATGCAAGAGTCTGCCACCCCATGCCACAAGGCACTAGACCCCCACAAGGATGGCTAAACCCAGATCCCCACACACGCAGCCCACAGCAGAGCTCTTAGTGCTGACCCGACAGGAGGTCGAGCACAGGTGGCAACGCGAGCAGCAGCAAATACAGATTGTGCTTCACTTGCTCATCTGCCACCTACCCCCCACTGAGCGGTCCAGGCCCCAACAGGCCATAGACTGGCACCATTTGTTCTGTTTTTTTTCACACATGTTAAAACACACAGGCCTGCAGACTAATAAAACCCATCAAACAGCATATATTTTCTGAAAGTAAAGGCCCTGAAGAATGAAATGGTAGTAGTTGCAATTTTTTATGCCACATGATATTTGTGCACGTTTATCAAATGCAAATGTTTTTAAAAAATTACTTAAATTTTAGTGCTCACAAATGCAAATTACTGATTTTTTGCAAAATAAAAAAATGAGGTTGCAACAAATAAATAGATATCATCATGTCAAAAAAACTGTTCATACCCATGAAATGGCGACCAAAATTGTACATTGGCATCACTTTGAAGCCTTTATAGGTTTTCAGAGTAACCTGAAGAGTGACGTGATGTCTCTTCTGCCATCCCCTGAAACTAATGGAACACAGCACACGCTTCATTAGCTTCCCCCTCATCCACAGCAGTAAGGAAAAGTGAAAGCTGAACCCAGGTGATGTCATTGACCAAAACGTACATGACCATTTCTTCTTTAAAAATGTAAGCAATGGGGTTGATTTACTAAAACTGCATGGTGCAAAATCTGGTGCAGAGCTGCATAAAAACAAATCAGCTTCTAGGGTTCTTTCTGGCTGCACCAGATTTTGCACTTTCCAGTTTTAGTAAATCAACCCCAATGTAATATTTTTGTAAAAGTTGTACTGTGAGCATGGGAACAAAATATAAAATAGCTATTATCCCAATTTTGCTGCAAAAGTGGACAATTTAGGGGAATATGTTAAGGGGCAAAATTAGGGAGAGTACATTTTGACCATACCAGACAGAAAACTATTACACTAACAGCTCTGAAAAAAATTAACCAAAACAGCTCACTTGACCTTTTATGTGTGCACAGTGACATCTTTTTCTAAAGAGTAATTATGGTCACCAATCAATGACAGAGTTCAAATTGACTCCTTTTCCTTTTAGCAGAGATCACATGATAACATTTCTAGTGGTGGTATCTTTGGTCAAAAAGTAACATTCAATACAAAATATCATGTTTACATAGCCTCCCTTGGGTATTCCTGAGTGTAGCTCGGGGTAAAGTTTCAGTACCACAAGCGGTAACCCTGAGCTACACTCGGGAATACCATGGAGCGCTGCTCCGCGATCCCTCGATCACTTACCTTGTCCTGCGCTCCCGCGATGTCCCTCCTGGAGTGTCCCCAGCAATGTAATCCGGCAGATGCCGGCATCTGTCTTCTGGGTTCCGTCCCCTGCGAGCGTCGGGGCGTACGGGGGGACAGAACGGCAGGAAATTTGAAAATGACAAAAAGTGACATTCACTAAAATCACTAAAATCACATAGTAAAACATTACTATATCAAACCATTTCACATACATTTTGTCCTAGTGCTTTGTCCTGTGCCCTGCCTGCATTTTTACTGTTCTTATTGCCATGGCGTCCAAAAAGCGTCCCTTTAGGTCAAAAGCGGTTTTAGACCAGCTAGAGAACAGCGATAGTAAATCAGAACCACTTGCAGAATTGAGTGATAATGATTTGTGGGGAAATTCATCATCAGACACTAAAAACAATTTTGCAACTTTGCTCAGTGATGTGCGAACTTGGAGCTATATTTCAAATTTCAGTGTTTTTGGTTTGATTATATTATTGAATTAAATTTATTATTATTATATTATTATTTTTTATGATTATTTATTAAATTATAATTTATGATTTTGTGCTTCAAGTTTTATCCTACCCGGGATGTTTACTAGACTCTTGTTCGGACAGATTTCAGTGAGTTATTCCTAAGAATTACAGGCCTACAATATAAAACACCAAATTTCCATGCAAAATAATGGTACCGCTTTCAGCACCAAAAATCTGAAATAATCATACTGCCAGGGAGGTTAATAACCACTGCAGACACTTACTCTCCCCATGCTCTCCTGATACCTCATTGATCTGCTGGAGACCAGATATCAGACATTATGAATAAAACGTATGTAATAGGGTGGTACTATGGATGCATTACTCAAACTGTGCCACATCCTATGAAAACTATTCAAAAAGTGGTTGCAACTGAATGGACTTAACCACAAGCCTACAGGGCACTTACACCCCCTTCCTGCCCAGGCCAATTTCCAGCTTTCAGCGCTGTCACACTTTGAATGACAATTGTGCGGTCATGCAACACTGTACCCATATGAAATTTTTATCATTTTTTTGTGACAGATAGAGCTTTATTTTGATGGTATTTAATCACCTCTGGGTTTTTTATTTTTTCTTAAACAAACCAAAAACCACTGAAAATTGTGAAAAAAAAAACAGTTTTTCTTAGTTTTTGTTATAAAATTTTGTAAATAAGTGATTTTTCTCCTTCACTGATGTGCGCTAATGAGGCTGCAGTGATGGAGACTGATAGGCTGCACTGATGGACACTGATGAGGAGGCACTGGTAGGTGGCACTGATGGGCATTGACAGGCATCACTGATGGGCACTGAAAGGCAGCACTGATATATGGCACTGATAGGCGGCACTGACTGGCACTGATAGGCGGCACTGACGGGTACTGATAGGCGGCACTGGCTGGCACTGATAGGCGGCACTGATGCGCACTGATAGGTGGCACTGATTGGCAGCACTGATAGGTGACATTGATAGGTGGCACTGACTGGCACTGATGGGTGACACTGAAAGGCAGCTCAGATGGACACTGATATGTGGCATTGATGTGCACTGGTAGGCACTGATATGTGGCATTGATGTGGCACTGATGAGCACTAACACAAGGCACTGATGGACACTGACAGGTGGCACTGTCTGGGGCTACACTGATCATCAGGGAACACTGATCATCAGTGCCCTGATGATCAGAGTACATGTCCCCTCCGCGGAATGCCGATTACCGGCTCTCCTCTCCTCACAAGCTGTCAGCGTGACAGCTTGAGAGGAGAGAAATGCTGATAACCGGCATTTTCCTGTTTACTTGTGATCAGCTGTGATTGGACACAGCTGATCCCATGACCAAGCCGATATCTTCGGCTCTTTCCATGTATCGGTGATCTGCTGTGTCCGAGGGACACAGCGCACGGCCGATCGCTGCGCTGCAGGCTTCCTGAGCCTCAAATGCGCGGTGAGAATGGGAGGACGTCATATGACGTCCTTCCAGAACAAGAAAACCACCTTTTGCCCGTCATTGGACTATATGGCGGGCGGGCGGTGGTTAAACATCAAAATATTGTAAAATTTCAATACTCTTTATTGACAAATCACATAGTTACAACGAACAGAAAACATTTGTTTCTAAAAAATGATACTCAATATGTACTACAATTACAGAATAAGGAAAACTTGCACCCCAATGATTATATAATTTGAAATCCTACTGCTCCTAAATGACTATATAACCTGAAAGGTACTGAACCAAATCACAGATGATAAGCATAACCTTGTAGTTGATTGAACACAGATATATTGTCATAGTAAAGAGCTAGTACAACTTCAACTGAACAGTGGGACTACATGTTTTGCGACTCTCTGTCACTTCCTCAGGAGCTAGAGAAAGGTGCATCCATGATAAAACAAAATTTTAGTTGTTGACATGTATATGTAGGTATAGATCAAAAATGCAGCGCTAAATCCAATATGAATATAAATATATCTCACATAAAATTAAATGCAAAGTGACAGGTGATAATAAACAAATCAGAGCGCTGAAGATAAGCGCAATAAAGTGACAATAGTGCGTAATCTTAAATCAGACTAAAAAACAGTAAGGTAAACGCACAATATAAACATATAGCAGTCCAAAAAGAGACAACTTTTCCTTACAAGTGCCTAAAAACATCCAGTGTCTGGGGATAGTGGTTGCTTCTAACTGGAGTTGCATTAATAAGGTGCTCATGACTCTGTGGATTAGAAAAGAGATGTGCTTGCACTCACCAGATGCACAGTTTAATTGCGTATGTATATGACATTCAGTGGGGCACTAGCGGTCATCTAGGAACTGATATGGATGAGGCACTTCTCAGGTACTCAGTATGCCTTGGATACAGACTCCAGACCTCTCAGTGGGACCCTCTCAGCAAAATAGGACAGCTCCTTGGTTTCACTTACACTCGGCTTCCAATCAGGTCAGCACCAATGGATATCCACCTTTAACTTCTTGCCAACTGCAGATAGCCGAATGACGGCTACACTGCGGCCGGCTAGTTCTGGGAGGGCGTCATATGACGTCCTCCCAGAAAGCGCTCTGCGCGCCCCCAGGGGCGCGCCCCCTGGCAATCTCCATGATTGCTGTGTCCTACGGACACAGCTGATCATGTGATGTGGTAAAAGGCCAATCACAGCGGCCTTTTACCACGTGATCAGCCATGTCCAATGACACGCTGATCATCGGGAAATGCAATTGCCGCTTCTCGGCTGCACTTTCCTCACGCTGTCAGAGCGTGAGGAAAGTACTGCCGAGAACCGGCAGTTGTTAGAGCAGGGATTGGCACCGATCATCAGGGTACTGATGATCAGTGCTTTGATGATCGGTGCCCAGCAGTGCCACCCACCAGTTCCACCCACCTGTGCCCAGCAGTGCTGCCCACCAGTGCCCAGCAGTGCCACCCAGCAGTGCACCCACCTGTGCCCAGCAGTGCCACCCACCTGTGCCCACCAGTGCCACCCACCTGTGCCCACCAGTGCCACCCACCACTGCCCATCAATGCAGTGCTGCCAGTCAGTGCCACCAGTCAGTGCCCAGCGGTTGTGCCAGTCAGTGCCCATCAGTTGCGCCAGTCAATGCCCAGCAGTGCCGCCAGTCAGTGCCCAACAGTGATGCAGTCAGTGCCACCTATCAGTGCTGTCTTTCAGTACCCATCATCAGTGCCGCCTATCAGTGCCGCCTATCCGGGACACCTCATTAGTGCTGCCTATCCGTGCCACCTCATTAGTGCTGCCTATCAGTGCCCTTCAGTGCTGCATATCAGTGCCTGTCAGTGCCACCTATCAGTGCCCATCAGTGCAGCCTCATCAGTGTAGGAGAAAAATTACCTGTTTGAAAACTTTTATAATAGAAACAAAGAAAAATTATTTTTTTCCCAATTTTTTACACTTTTTTTGTTTATAGCGCAAAAAGTAAAGTGCCCAGTGGCGTTTAAATACCACCAAAAGAAAGCTCTATTTGTGAGAAAAAAATGATAAAAATTTCATATGGATACAATCTTGCATGATCGCGCAATTGTCAAAGTGTGACAGCGCTGAAAACTGAAAATTGGCCTGGTAAAGAAGGGGGTATAAGTGCCCGGTAGGCAAGTGGTTAAGTAGCAGGTTCCCGATTGATCTCTACTTTGAAGTAGCACTGGGGTCGGGCTTTCTCTCCCATCTTAGCTGATCTATAACCCGCTCTCCGCCGCCTCCATTTCCTTCTACCGCAGTCTCTGTCCGGGGTCCTCATATATGTAGGAATATAATCAAAAAGATGAAAGTGAACATATGTACATACTAAATCATGAAATAAACAATTATCCACTTACAATTGCTTGTGATAAAAACAAATAATGTAGTTAGTCATTGGACAGAGACAAGATGCGTCAAAATGGGTATCCAGACATGGAGGCACATCAGGGAGGCAGGGGCAACATCATATAATAACGTTGTAATCTATTAGAAACAGAGTAACTTTTGAATTCTGATACCATCAACCAAAATTGTGTTATTTAGCAAATTGCTAAACATAACAACAATATGCGGTAATGCATCTACTGTATGTACCAAATGCACTCAAAGTGGGGCATAACCAAACGTGGTATACAGAAAATACACTTACTAGGTCAATATGATTGAATGGTACTGGTTGATCTCCAAACAGACCCTGGATATGGGTGAGTTTAGTAATTTGCTGGAAAAGGGAAAAAAAACAGGAAAAAAGAGAGAGGGTGGGTAACACCCCGTATAATTCCCTGTACCAATGCTAATATAGTAAGCATGTTTGTCATACCAGTAAAAGATGTCTATGTCATGGACAATAAGGCCACAGAAATGGTTCCACAAGCACCGTCACGTTGCATAGCCCTAAATACCCCCGATCAGGGCGCGCATGCCACTTGAGGTGGCATATGATCCGGCCAGAGCAACTGTGCACGTGCGAGGGACCAGCGGATGCACACTGGAAGGCTGCCCTCCCAAAGGCCAAACACGGTACTATGGAAGACAGCGCATGTGCGGAGAGGCTGGCCACCAGAGGGCCAAACCTCCCCACCTGAGCGTGCGCAGTCGAGGGTGGGGAAAGGCAATCCCCAACCCTCCATGGGAAGGCTGCAGCACATGGCAGGGGAGAGACCAACATGTTCAAAGCCATGCATGTACACCCGCCAGCCATGTGTTGCGGCCCCACCGGCTGCATATCTAGACCCAACACCCACCTCCGCCTCCATACTCCCTTTGCACATTATATAACTTTTATCTTATCCATGCATTTAACAAATATTGTCTTAAAAACATATACATTCCATAAACATTTTCCTCCAGAATTTTACTAGAAGTGCCAAAAAGTTTGAAACTTGTTTACTAGCATTTAGAGTTTGTAAATGTATCAAAATATCCCAATAGACTCCTAGATCTCTGCCTAGTCCCTTAAACCGCGCCAGTTAGTATTTCACAGAAAAGGCTTATAGGACAAAATTTCATTGATACCTGGGGGATGGTAGCATTGAGACGTTCAATAAACAGTATTTCTTTTTGAAGTATTCTTTTATCCCAGTTCCCACCATGTAGGTCCTTGGGAACAACATCCAAAACCAAAAATCTTATCTGTGAGGTGTCAAATTTATGATACAATTCTAAATGTCTACTAACTGGGGTTAGGATTTTACCATTACTAGAGTAATATATATGATCTTTAATTCGTTGTCTAAATTGGTGAATGGTTCATTTTGCTGATTTACATCAGAGAGAACTAGATAAAGCTACCACTAAGTTGGCCTCTGATCTGAAACAAGATTTTAAAGAGCTGGGAAATCGACTGGAGAATAATGAATCTAAAGTTGATGAGACCGTCCACAGAGCGACTCTAAATTCTAACATGGTTGCTGACTTACAAGATCACCTGGATGCAGCTTATAATAAAATAGATGATATTGAAAATCGGGCTAGGCGGGACAATTATCGCATTAGAGGGCTTCGGTAAAAAATATCACCTCCATCGCCCATTCCCTTATGTGTGCTGCGGTACCAGCTATCGATGAGATCCATCTTGAAATAGATTGTATCCACAGGGCTTTAGTCCCTTTAAAGCTGTACAGACCTCCTTGGGATGTTATTGTAAAATCTCACTTCTTCACGGTAAAGGAGGCAGTGATGCGTTACGCTCGGAAACGCCCAGATCTGGAAGTTGACTGTTACAAGATCCAAGTCTTCGCAGACATCTCTCAAATGACCATTCAAAAATCGAGAGCCTTCAAGCCGTTGCTCTTGCCCCTAATCCAAAAGGACATTTGCTACAGATGGAACTATCCGTTTCACCTACAATTCTTCTACAACGGAAAATCCTATTCCTTTTCCACATTCCTTGAAGGGGAAAAAATTCTGCTGAACTTGGGCCTCATCTCCCTCACTCCCTCCTCACAATACCAGTCCAAAGCAAATAAACCACTGCCGCCACTCCCACCCCTTTGGTTCTCTGTTTCTAGGAGGAAATCTGCAGCTCCACATCGGGTGTCTTGAGGCCTCTGTTTTTTCTATTAGTTGATGTTTCGGTCAGCGGAGGCCTCTCAGTGGTCCCGATGCAGGATGCTGGCCTTCACACGTTTTGAAAAGCCTTTTTTTGAAATGTTTTACTTTAGCAATGTCATTTTCTTCTTCCTTAATGGTTTGAATTGCTTATATTTTGTATAATGATGCTGTGGCTTCGGGAACCTCTTACATGTTTTTTTGTGGACCCCAAGGTGCCCGGAAGAGTCTATGCACTGTCCCTAATTGACAGACTCTCTCCCTTGCTTACCCTTGGTGGTGACTCTTCCGCTCCTTGACCTTGTCTCTAGGATATTTGATATTTTACTATCTTACATCCCTCAGCTCTGGCATCTCTCACTTCCTTTTTTCTGTTTCTTTTATTTTTTTAAATTTCTTCTATTCCTCCTATTTGAGGGTCAACTGGAGATTCCTAAGACGATCTTGGACTCTTGATATCCCGTGTTGGTGGGTGAGTTTGTCTAATTATAATTGTATTGCTTGCTTTCCATGTATACCTTAAGACCCCATAATGCCATGATCTGATTGCTTTCTCATAATGTTCAAGGGATGGGCTCCCCTTCTAAGCGTCTAAAAATATCCCTAGCAGCTGATATTTTTGCTCTACAAAAAACGCATTTTGCTCCTTCTTTTACACCTTGGTATATTCACAGAGATTTTCCAGTCTGTTTTTTTTGCTAATGCCTCTGAAAAGAAGTGAGGAGTAGCGCTTTTCTAGACAGTTGTCGTTTCCCGAAATTAAAGTGATAAGGGACAAGGAAGGGAATTTCCTCTTGGTTAAGGGCCACTTAGGGGGTAATTTGGTCACTTTTCTTATCTACTATGCTCCTAACATGAAGCAAGTGGCCTTTTTTCAATCCCTACTTATATCTTTTTATGCTGAACTGGAAAGCAATGTTATTTTGGCATGGGATTCAAATCTAGCATTAGATCATACACTTGACAAATCGAATACAGGTAAACTTAAATCAATCAACTGTGACTTCGCCCATAATCATTATTCTCGTATCCATCATATTTTCCTTCCCTTGGAATTGCTCCCTAAACTCCACTCAGCCATAATAGTTTTGACGCCTTGGTTGGACCACGACCCGGTAATGCTGACGCTTTCTAATTTGACAGCCAAAATTGGCCAAACCACATTGGCGTCTAAATGAGTCTTTACTTAGTAATGAGTCCTACTGCCTAGATGTAGGGGAACATTTGAAATCTTATTTTGCAATTAATAAAGCAGAAGATACGACTCCTGCTATTAATTGGGCAGCCCATAAAGTCTCTGTTAGAGGTATTTTATTCAATTGTCTTCTAGAATTAAAAAAGTTTGAGAAGAATTGATCTCTGCCAAATCTAAAGCACATAAGGCCTTAGTTGCCCAACATAAAACATCTCCTGCCTCTGATTAAAATAAAGAGTCATATGGGGGAGAAGGTGTTCAGAAAATTTTTTATAATAATTATTTGGAAGATCATCAGGGCCCAGGGATTTATGCGACGATGACAATTTAATGACTTTGCCAAGTTCCACTTCAGTAATAGGCTGTTCCATAAGTTTTCTATGGGCCTCAGTAAGGGAAGGAAGACAAAATGTCTCTAGAAAATTTTTGACTGAGGAGGACTTAGCTGGCTGGGGTTGACCATACAAGGAAGCATAGAAATCATGAAATTCCTGAAAGATCTTCTGAGGATCTTGTGTGATGGGACCCCCCACGAGGCTAAGTTTGGGAAGCGCCGAATGTACATGCTTAGGAGCAAGTTTATGCACCAATAGGGAAGCCCGGCCTATCTCACCACGGGAAAAATGTATGATTCATCCAGCGTTATTGTTTTTTCCGCTTTTGTGGTGAGACAAAGGTTAGGTTCTAATCAATACATATGTGCATAGGGAAAAGCGTTCCCCAAACAAAGATAGTTTCATGTGGGACCATGCAGCTTTATCAGAAAAAAACAAAGCATTGCACAAGTATATACACAGAAGCTGAGCACATCGCCACCATAACTTCACCAAACTAAAAAGACAACGTTGTCTCGTCACCTTAGCAGCTGCTCATACACTCCAACATACACACTTAGGGAAAGGGGGCGAGAAAGTCTAAAAGTGTATTGTATTACTTATTATTGAAAAATTGTTCAAAAAACCAATTCAAATATAAATTGGTGAATAGTTTTCCCAACATAGAAAGCCCCGCACGAGCATAGCATAAGATAGATGACCCCCTGTGTATCACAGTTAGCATAAAAGCATGGAGCGAAGAACTCCCCATTGAGTAAATAGAAATGCATGCCCTGCTGTGTCCACGGGCAAAAGGAGCGCCGGCCGCATTGAAAAATGCTTCTCAGGTAAACCTTGAGGGTCATTTGTG